CATGAAGTATGGAACAACTGCAACATCAAATTCTCTAAGAGTGATTGGTTCCCCGTCTCCACGGGTCCTATCTTCTTCGTCTGGACGAGCCATTGGAGGCACCTCGAGTCAGGCAAAACCTACTCTGATAAGACAAGCCAATAATACCGAGACGGGAGAGACCCGCTCTGATACCACTTGACACAGCACAAGCAAATAGATTTTCAAGCGAAAATCCTAAAGAACGATAATCTGGAATCCACCAAGAAATTGGAGAGAAAATTCTCTTTGAATTATTTGATTCATAAAACTGAAGTGTACAAAAACGTTAGACAAACCTGCCTAAATACACAACTCTCAACCCTTGTAACTGCTAGGGGAGTTATTACATTAAAACTGAAAAACAGAATTTATTCCGAAAATTAACTACGAAACTTTGAATGCGGTTTTGGAAGGCCAAACGACCTCAGAATGCCAAAATCCATCATACATCACAGCAAAGCTGTGAGTTTGACTCGTGGCGTCGTTCCCTTTCCGAAATGGTATTTTGCGTCCTAATCGGAGCTCGGACGCCAAATCTGCAAATTCCTGCTATGTCGCTTTTCACTTCTTCGCTCCAATTCTTCTTCAATCAATTAGAAAATCCCAACGATACGCTTCCTTCTTTTCCTAGTGTCATAAGTGACCATATTTCGTCCTACATCAATTTCTAATTCATTTGAATTGAATAACTTGATTTTGTCAACATTAACTTTGCCTGACGATAACTGTTGCTTTAACAATAAACCACCATTTCGTTTGAAAAAAATTTTCTTGCGTGCAATGGTTTTCTTTATCTTCACGATTTTGTGTACCAACCATGCACCATTGAGTAGTAACAATAGCCCAACACCGGAGCCAAGACCTGCATCAACAATTGCTCTAACAATAAACCATCATTTCTAAACACGAAAATAATTGAATAAACCCTTCGTCCAAGCAAAAACATTTTGAACAACACTTCTGAATAATATTACCATGGTGTATTATTATTTTGAGAGATGTAAGAAGATAGGAGTACTATATACCTAACATAATAGTTTTGATTTCTCTTTCAGATGTGGTCCTGAAGTGGCATGTAGTAGTATTACCGACAGCAAGGTCCGAAGCTAAATGCGTACATCTACTGCCAGTTATATTTGAGTAGCAACTATAACCCCCCGCAAAATTCTCACATACACCGCCTTCACAGAGATTACTGCCTTTGCATTCATCAATATCTGAAATGATGATGATCAGAGATATGCTTCGGTCCAAACTCACACATATAAGAATCGCATATGTTCAAATTTCATCAAAAGGTGAAAAGATAATTAATACTAATTAAACTTTCCGGTACTAGAATAAACTCAATTCCAATACTAATTATATATTTTCTACTTTTTTTCTTAAAGTTTTCAATGTGTGACTTTACGTTCTTCGATAGAGATATAACAGAAACCTGGGGATGGTGAAGAGAAAATAAATAGTGATGGTACATGGCTAAAACGCCTCAACGCTTTGAGGCTTACACATCGCCTCACCCTAACTCCTCGCTTTTCAAAACATTGCTAATAAGAGGACAGGATTTGTCTAATGACATGTTTTAGATGCCATTTCAACTCGTGTAAAATACCTAATGGGGCTTTGGGCCACATCCAAATCATATTCATTAAAGTAAGCCCCCAAACTAACTGATCCGCTCATCTCTTTTGAGAACATTTGATAAACAAAGTTTCTAAGAATCACTTTAATTTTTATCAAAAACTTTGAGGTGCATCTAACAAAAGCGATTTCAATAAAAGCTTTCTAAATAATCATTTCCATTCGGGCCCTCTCTTAGTTTCTTTCCAAGGGTGGGAGGATAAGATGGGTGGGGATCCGTCAGGTCTGGTTTTTCTCTGAATCCTTCACTGAATCTTTCACCATAGTCATGTACGTTTAACATCCAGTCTAGCACCACAGGAACGCTGTCCATATCCTTCACGTCTCGAAAATTCGTTAAGTTATCCGCAAACCAAAATTTATCAACCAAAAATGCGTACTTGCAATCGTCCTTTGCATCTGATGTTGATGAATTTGATGGTATCTCATCAATACTAAAATTGGTGAGTTCGTATGTTGGAAGAATACCTCGGCAACAGCCATTACTGTCATAGCAGTCGCCCCTGCCGCCGTCTGTAGTGTTTCGACAAATCGTCCCGCATACAGCGACAGTCCCATAATCTGAGCTCATACGGGCCAAGAGGTCACAACCAACAGCAATGAATACGTTGTCTCTCTGAGAGTAGATGAAAGGACTGCCCTTCAAATTCTGGGGTTGGCGAGTTTCATTTCCTTCGCAACTGAAGAAAGTAATAGGGTTCTTAACCTGAACCGATTGCGTGCCACCGCCATCTTCAAACGGAGAAATACTTAGCAGCTCCAGGTTGACGCTCTTGAGGAAAGGCACTTGCCTGCTGTAATTAGCTGAGGTTGTAGAGTTGTTGTGCCTGCAGTCTATTTGAAACCATTTATCCAAGTAACAATCTTTGCTAGGTCCAATCCCGAAAGGGTATGGGATGGCAACATCTCCACAATGCGTTGTGCAATTAGGCTTTGCTATAGGCCATGATGCTGCACTAGTTGTTGCAGCTCCATAGCAACAACTTAGTATTATTATGCGCCATAACAACAGAATAATGGATATGATATTCATTATTTATCAAACTGATTTGCAGAGTTTGATTTTTGCAGTCAAAATTGATGTATATCAAACTTTATATAGCTCCCAAAAAAGGAACATGGATTGACTTAAGTAGGTTACATATTTCGTTGATTTGTGCACATGAATTTGCGTGGAAATTATTGTGTACATTATTCCTAGCTATACGTGTGTAGACTTCTAGATAATCAATCTTCACACAAAAAAAAAAGAAAAAGAAAAAAAAAAGGAGACTTCTAGTCAATGTCAATTTTTATAAAAACTTTCAATTATAAAAAAAACCCACTTGAATAGACTTAAATGCCCTCAAAACTAAAACTCATATAAACCTAAAAAGAAAAACCCTATTAGATTAAAATTTGAATTTTTGGTTGGCACGTCTACAGCACTAGTCGAACTCCTTGTGAGTGTTGTTCTTCCTTTTCTGCGTTTATGGGGTGGGTCTGCAGCATAGTTTTTTTGTTTTTGTTTTTGTTTTTTTTTGGGCTAGAATCCATCGTGCTTCTTTAAAGTTCTTGCACTTGGTGTACGAATTTAATGATATATCTTCTTTGAAAAAAACTTTAAAAAAAACATCTAGAGCATCCTTTCATGTTTTGAGAAACTTTGCATGACAAAGATGAACTTGAGGATTCAACAACGCATCTGAATTCGTAATACGTCATGAATGGCACCTTGATAAAGCACCACGCAAACCAACATCTACCAGAGTGAAGCGATGGGAAAGCAATTATGTATGTATTTTTAGGGCATTTAAGTCTATTCAAGTGGATTTTTAATTATAACGGAAAGATTTTATAAAAATTGACATTTATAGAAGTATGGGTAATTGGCTATTTTTCATAAAAACTCTTCCTCTTCCTTTTAGAAACAAAAATATATGTTGGACTAGAAATAATAAAAGAAAAGCAGAGAAGTTTCAAAGTTTTTTTATGATATTCAAGGAATCCTTGATTAAAAAGGACAATACAAGGTGGCTTGATGGTGAAAGGCTGAGTTATGCTATCCACAGCATGATTTTGTAATCGTGGTTTTGTTCATAGCCAAAAGCTCAAATCAGAGCTACAAAAATATCAGCGAAACATTCAAAAGAAAAACAAATCATCAGCACTTGAAAAGTAAGTTACGTGAGGTTAGGGTCATCCCCATTAGTCTATGGAGAAAATGTGGCTTACGTGGCGTTAGGCTCTTCTTCTTTGTTCTTGGAGGTGGGTTATCTCTGACTTTAGTCCCTGCGAAATTTCGTATTTAATTTCATGCTGAAACAAAAAATTGATTGGGTTGTTTGGTTGCCAACAAATGCTGAGACGTTAGTATAATTATGCTTTAATTCTATGCTCATGGCATTTTAGATAATTATTATCTCACTTATCCAATTGGCACTGGCCAAGAGGTTTTCCAGATCAAGAAAACACAATTATGCAGAGGAAGTTTTGCAGCCTGATGTGATGAATTGGTACCTGAAAAATGGCTCCTTTATGGAAACATCATTTTTATGACCTTGGTATGGTGTCAGTTTGTAACTACATTAAAAATGTTGAAAGACTTGAATGGCTCATCAAAAAACAAAGCCAATGATTGGCTAATAGTTAATGAACAATATTCTGAATTAAGCAAGATGACTTGAAACTAGAGTCACGAAAAGCAATTTCATTATTATCTTCTAAATGATCATCCTCAAGTCAAGTCTTAAACTCCTCTTCTTTTTCTTTTTTTCTTTTTCTTTTTTGGTCAAAAATTCTTAATCTTCTCTGAGTGGGATAAAACTAAAATAAAAAATTAATGTGCAGAGATAGTTCTTGTCACCTTCCTGCAGCTGCTTCAGGAATTAATGCTCATCCTTTTTTTTTTTTTGTTGGTGGAACCTGGAGATCAAAACCAGGGCGCAAATAGCGCAAGCAAGTCAATTGCACTCATCCTTTTTATCCATGACTTTCGTAAGTTAATTGCACTCAACTGTACAAATTATTAAATTTTATCAATTTTTTTTAGAAGAAAAAAATAGACTTGAAAGGAATACTATAATAGAGAGAATTCAAATAATATTGGGAATATGCAATTAATGTCAACTTTATTGACTGCACATAAGTAGAACACATATTTGCCCTAGAAACTGTCGAAATATCAAGAACATACACAAGAGCTCTTCTCCTCAATCCAGTCCCTTATACACTCATTCTAGATGGCGTCATGAATACTTTTGTGTGGGTTGGCTTGATCTGTTGAGCAGGGGCACTTGTGTTTTATATGCATCTGCCTAGGGGTCTCTCCCATCAAGAAAAACTCTCAAGCAGTCCTTATTGCATTAGGAAATAAAACCCTAGTCCATATTAATTACAAATCCCTTTGGCCCATGTATTTGACTTAAACACATATACAAAGGCTACAGGCCGAGTAGTAATTGAGTCCTTGATCAATATTGAGCCCAAGACAACCCTATGATGATTAAAAGACCACTTAAGTAGGTAATTAGAATAATCCAACGTCTTACATTCTCTCACTTGGTCAAATAATCATCAAGGCTTCAAAGTTGATCACTGTATGGCCATGTAGAACTCAACATCACTCTATTCCTAAATCAAGCCACTGTCAAAAATATAAACTTACATGGAACTGTCGGAACACATTGAATTTATAACATCTAAGGTTCTTACAACCACACATATAAGCGTGCAAAATCACATAAGGCTTCCATCAAGACTAGGACGAAGAATGATCATGACAAAACTTAATTTGTGTTTACAAATGTCACTTTCATTCATAAGCCCTTCCTTAAGAGATTACCAAGATCTCTCCTTAATGACACTGGCATGAATTCATGTCTTATGTAGTGACTGTAGCTAGCTACACTATATGATGACATGTAACTGGATTCATTTGTCAAAGAATAGTAAACATAAAATTGAAGTCACGTAATCCAATAAAAGAACTAAACCAAACAGCAATACACAAAATAATTGAGCTGTCTCCAAGAAAATTAATGAATTTAAGTGGAATAAAAACTTAGCTCCCACTAATTCTACATATCAAAATTTAACGACATAACCATAATTGTAACAAGTATGACCTTATTCAGTGAATCAATGAACCAATGCAACATTCTTTCTTTTACCTTCTCCTTTACAAGCATGAAACAAAAATCAAATGCTTATTAGCAATCACAAAATTCAATTGAAAGGTAAAAGTTATTGATTAACCACTGTCGATTTGACAAAACTAAATGAAATAATAAGAACAGATAACATACTCAAAACAATCTTTGTTCTTATTAGCCTTAAAATTCTTAATGCAAAACTAGATTGTTAAGTGATTAACTGGTTACATCCACAAAGAATATCATTAAATGCTCCCACTCATCAAGCATGTATTTTGCATGTTACAAAATGGATCAATACCGTTTAAATGAATTAATACTTTATAAACTTTACTACAAAATCCTTAGAGTTAGAACTCAACTTTAATTCATTCAATTCTTTCTCAAACAACACTTTACATGTAAGTTGCACGTAGATGAGAAAAAACAAAAAATGTAATGGAAAGCATTCAACTTTATTCCACTTGTATTTTAAACACCAATAATTCAATTTCCTTTAACCAATACAAGTAGAAAACAGTAAGTATGGTGAGAACTTCAGTAGCCAAACAGCCAGTCATCCAAAATATTGGTCAGAAAAATATAGGAGCACAAGGAAAAAGAAGAATAGCACAAAACCAACAATGTGTTAATCCCATACATAGTACTTGATAGTGTAGAACTTCATTTTGCCATTTAACAAGAAATAAATTCCACATATGCTCAAAACTTCATGAGTGTGAAGCCCAAAACCTTACATCAATTCTCCCACTTGGGCAAACACTCACTACTTTACTATGCACCAAAAAACAGCTTTGTCTTATGAGTTGTACGATTTCACAATCGCTGATATATTCGTACAGCTTTGTCTTATGAGCTGTCTTATGGAGATATGCCTGCTTCCAAGTCCTGAATGATACAAAAGACTGGATTTATGTTACGACAGCACTGCACAAGGAAGAGCTATGAATTGCTCTATTTCTTTTCCTTCAAATTTAATTATAATGTATCTATTGAAGTTTTTGGATCTGCCCGATGGGTCCCACTCTAACACAACATCAATACTATCCCCGTTTTACCACCTACCCAATCCATCAGGTGTGGGGTTTTACCACAAAAGGCCTCAATATTAGTTAGAGTGTGGTAATTCTATTTAAACCCATTTGTTTTCTTTCACCCCACTGATGTGGAACTCCAACACTCCCCCTCACGTGTAATCACACATGAAGATCCACACATCAACAATTGAAACTCAGAGGTCGGCTCTTGTTGGGCCCACTTGTTTTCAATGGAACTCAGAGGTCGGCTCTTTTATTTTTATTTTTATTTTTTTTATTTTTATTTTTTTTAATTTTAAGAGTCCGACTTGTTTCTCCTTCTTGGCGACAAGCTTCGTTAGCTTGTACGGGCCTTGGCTCTGATACCATGTTGATATTTCTAGGATCTGACAATGGATAGTGTTTTTGGATTGCAAAAGGGAGCTGGAGATAACCAAGGATTAAAATATCGGCCGTGCAGATAATATCGGGCCTGCAATTTATGGATATTTCGGTGGATATATCGTTATCGTTTTAGGTATCGGGAAAAAATCAACAAAAATGACAGATATAGGCATTGAAACACATAATTTTGGTTTAAAACTTTCATAGATGTTATATACATTATCAATGAATGTATTGAACAAATAAAACTCAAAATTTATTAATAATAAGATATATATATGATGAAATATAAGTGGTATGTAATGCGCGTTAATGAAAAGTTTGAAAATAAAATGTTGATTAGAATGAATAAATCATGCATAAATTCATAGTTTGTTTAAATATTGGATTACAATTTAGATAAGTGTCCATCTACATAAATGAAGAGCTCCTATGAGGTTCAAACAATGAGGAACAACCATCTAGATACATACAATAGT